GGCTGATTGGTAACTTTGGCACATAGGCGTCACTACAATCTGCATCATGCGGTGAGCAGCACCAGGATAAGAGATCTCTTGACCGGGCGCGAACGGCCGTAGTGGTGAGACCAGTAAACATCTCATGCTCCGCAAGACCGAATCCTCAATGCAAGAGAGGGTGTGCGTTGGATGACGCATCCACGATGATCGTATCGAAGTGAGACTAACAGCGTGGCCGGTTTGAAATAGCGCACATGTTTATTACTCGGGTTCACAGCGCGTTACCGTATGGCATTCCTTCGCGAGGGCGATCAGCGGGAGCTATGAAGCTGGGGGGACTTCGTTGATAGACTTGGACTCGCAGAAGCCTGTTACAGTCGAGACCACGTAGGGTAGTTATGTAGTCGTAGTGTTTTATGCGCGGCCTGCACAATCATACTTATCGATATTGTGGCCCGCTGCAAGCAGTGCTTCGACGTACCGCCGTGGTCCGTGCTCCTTGTCGCAAGATTGACTTCATACGGGGCAAGAGACCGTTTGAGGAAGAGTTATCTTGAGGCGCGGGATAAGCTGAGATATTTTCTGCGGCGGGGTTAGAGAATCTGCAGACTGTTCCTAGTTGTATGTGCGGAAGGATTTTTTTGGAATGTCCTTTCATCAGCCCAGAATGCCTTATTGACTCATGCTTGAGCTAAAATGAAAATGCCGACGCCACCTTGTTCGAATTTCCGTTTGATCCCTGAGGCTGGTGCATGACGGGAGAAGTCTATGCCCACCACTAGCGGCAGAGTACCTAGGCGAGACGTTCACATGGTAGCCAATAGCAGCAGCGTTTCCACGACTCCAGGTGCTTTTAAGGCTGTAGGGAACGGGTAAGTACGTGATTGGCAGATTCTTCGCAGCCTCTCGTTCAAAGGCCGAGGTACCGGTAGCAATGTGATGAAACGAATACGTGATCATAGGTACTACTTGAACACGTTATCGCGCCAGCGTGACCTTTGAACTTTGCCGGCAACATGATGAGACCATGACCTCCGGACATTTGATCCCCCTTCTAACCTACTTCCTGTGATGCTGATTGGTGAGGCTTTCATGGCTGGCGCAGACGGAACAACAGTAGTCAGCAGTTGGACCCCGTACCGCAGATGGGGGGGGGTTGTTAGGGTACCTGCAAGCGAGGCACTTGGAACGAGATGACCTCGCAGGTGATGAGATTTGTTTCGAAGTGATTGACATTATCATCACTACCACTACCACTACCACTACCACTACCGGTATTGTTGTTATTTTGCCCTTGCCTTATCCTTGCCGTAGTCTTCTGCGGGGCGTTGGGCCCTATCTGTCACACGTTCCAGGGTTCCCAACTTTGTTTTTTTAGGGGCCCACCAGCGGCTTATTAGTCTAACCCTTTGCCCTTTTCAAGTCTACCTTATTTATTTGAATCCGAGAGGGCGGCGTGGCCCCACCGAAGCCCACAAATGCAATCCTTCTTCCCACAAAAAGTAAGCTGCATACTTTAAGGTGCATACCTTAGCTTGACCGCTTTGCGTAGCCCCGTTCAGATCTTGATCACCGGGGTTGTGCCTCGCGTGTGCCACTAACGGCCGCCTACTTTTACTGAGGCTAGCAAAATAGCAAGTAGCAAGTAGCAAGTAGCAAGTACCAACGTAAGTAGCGAGTACCTAAGTGAGTAGCGAGTAGCATCTAAGTAGCGGGTAGCAAAATACAGTAATAGTACTCTACCCTACTCTACTCTACTCTACTCTACAGTAGTAAGGTAGGTAGTAAAAAGTGCTCCGACTCGTCCTCCTTTTTCTTTTGCCCATACTAAAAATTGGCTAGACACTGGTTTGAACACCCCCCCTCCCTTTCCACCATTCGTTGTTCAACCCCCTCAATCCTCATCAATCAAAAGATTCGGAATCGTGATGACTGTGCAGCCGCGAGCCTAAAATGGCCTTTCGCATCAATGCAGAATTGGAAGCAGGAATGGACAAGGATCGTCTCCAACCCTTTCGTTGGCGTTGGCTAACCTTCTTCCCAAACCCCTTCAAACAAGAGGATGCATGCCTGCATTCCCGTTGCATGGCAATCTGTCTAAATCACTCTACGGAGTCCTATCCGCTTAAATGGCTTATCCCTTGATCACTCTGCCGTGGGGTCGGCGCATTTCTCATGCCTTGTCCCAATCTGATGCTCCGTATTTGTGTCAGTCTCAGTAATAATATACGGGGCGGCTGTGGCTGTTTCCTTGCCTTCTCTTCCACTCTCTCCCTCTACCTCCGCTTGTCACCTGTCTAGTTCTTCATCTTTCTTTTTCCAAAACACAGTAATGATCATGACCGCCGTCTTTGAAAGACCATACCGATAGCAGAAGGTACCAGATCATGCATGTACCATTGACAGTACATCACTGACCTCCTAAAGTGTCCTTCGGAGTCGCCCTTCCGCCCTTCTTGAAGTATCAACTCGACCCGCTGCAACACTCTCTAGCACCATGGCTTCCACCTTCCCCATGCCTTCCACAGATTACGGCGTCATGCTCCAAGATGTCTCCAATTACCCGTCGAGATCTCAGTTCCTCCGCCGCCTATCGACGCACTCGAGCAGCACGTCAGGCAGCAACAAAAGGGCACCAGCAAGAATCACAAAGCAGAACAGTGCGGGGAACAGTCCACACAATGTGCAGCGTCGGAGGACAACGGCAAACACAGCAAGGACGTATCCACCGCTCTCGCAAAGTAGCCCCTATCAGACACAGGAGCAAAGTTTGAGGAACTACTACAGCTCTCGACAGGCAATGCCAGTGGAGAGGCCCATGAGCTGGCACCCGGGGTCAGAGATGATCAGTACGCCAGCCACACAAGTCCACCTCGGTGAGCCAGGTCTTGGGAATACCATCGCAGGGCTTCAGAACCTGGCAGTCTGTACGCGACCAGCTTCCTCCGTTCAGCAGTCAATTGAGAATGCTTTCGCTGTGGGCTACGGCATTCCCATCAGCAGGCCTCTCACGATGGACGAGCATTCACCTACCGGAATTGAAGATTATGCATCGGCGCCCGACTCCGTTTACAGACCGGAGTCATTGTACCACTCGGAGCCGATATACAATCCTTACTCGTACGATGCGTTCCAGCAACTTCAACATTCTTACATGCCTCAGTCATCAAACCAGGATACGTATCCTCCTGCCAATTATCAAATACCGCAGTGGCCTGAAGCTCAACCATTCTTTGCCCACGATTTCCAAGATTCGCAAACCTCGGCAGGCCTCTGTCAATGGTCCTCAAATCCTGGACAGAGTCTCAACATCAAAGCCGCACCTCAGGTGTCGAAGAGAGCAAACAAAGTGCTATCAGGCATCGGTCTTTACGACGACAAGGTACCCGACTCCGTATCCGGCACCAGCGGCGACCCCAATCGAGATTCAATGGGCAAAGGGCTCAAGCTTGAAGAGACATGGCAGCCACCCAAAGATGAGGACGAAAACGATGACGACGACGACGACGACGACGAGGGGAGCTGCTCGACCGACGAAGCAGAGGAGATGGAAGAGGATCTTCCGATCATGACCTCGGCACCACAACATGCGCAGACGGCTTTCTACCCTCCGTATGGGGACCTGTCGAATCAATCCTTCTTCTTCTCCAATGACGACGATGCGTACACTGGTGATGACCAGTACACCAACTACCTCGCCTTCGGCCAAGCCCAGTCGAAGCCACAGGATCCCGTGACGGGCAACTTTTTATGGTGTTGATGACAGGGATGAGAGGAGGAGTCGGAGGAGGAGAAGGCTGGACCTAGACGTGGCGATCAGGTATCCGCCACACAGATACGAGGCAGAGCTACGAATGTGAGACAAATTAGATCACAGGCATGAAAGGTGGCACACATGAGGCGGATGTGGCATTACGAGCTCGACTTTCTGTACATAGATGCGAAGATACCCCCATGATCCATCCAATTCGGACGGATGATGCTAGTTACATGCATAGGACCCAATATCAATAGATTCACACCATGACAGGTTTGAAACTTTTCAATTTCTTGATCGAGACGTTGGAATTGCTTTCGCTGTACCGTATTGAGCAGTTGCATAAAAGTATATGGGATTTATGCCGCCTTGTTACCAGGTTTCCCCGATCGGACTCACTAGAGTAATCCGAGAGCCTCCTTTCCATCATGCGCTAAGCTGGATCCGGAATAGATCCTCGGTTGTCTGGCCTCTTTCGGTCTCAGGGACGACACGACCGAGACGACATTTCTCTCCAAAGCACTGCTCCAATGGAATCGCTGCCTCAGTGATCCGACATCTCCACCGAACATTCCCTCTTCCGCGCTGATATCGCGACGGGCGATCTGCTGGACGGTCTTTGGGAGGGTGCCGTTGTTGTCGAAAGAGGAAGAGCAAAGCAAGGGTGCGACGAGCGACGAAGGATCCATGGTTGCCACAAACAGCCTGCCATTCTTCCGTCCGGGTGGCTAGTTCGAGGTCTTGCAGGCACCCTTAGGTTACTGTGGCTAGTCTACAGGTTCGAGGTCGGGATCGGGTGCTTCTCTTGCCAATTTGGACAGGTGCGTCGGTAACGGTTTGATGCCTGCGCAATACAACCGAAGGCATTAGAGTCCTTCTCCGAGTATCATGTCTCGGTCAGCCTTTGTCGTTCTCGATGGGAATGAATCCTCCTTGTAATATGACCCCAATGAGGTTTCGAGACTGGGGTCATCTTTAGAAACCAATGCTGGGACGCCGAGTTTAAGATTGCTCTTATTCTTTTATGCAATCCTAAATTTCTCCTGAGTCTTATCGCGCTGTACATCTATCGTGCCCTGTTCCCGCGTTTTGGCTGTCAGAGCTTCGGGGATGATGATGATGATGATGATGATGATGGACGAGCTCTCACTAAAGGCTACAGCCAGGCCACAAAGAGAACCCCACGTGTAGTTCACGTCTTCTGGCAATCACAACAGCGCGTACCATTCTTTCCGGCACCTTTTTTCTTAAATAAAGGCCAATGCCAGAGCGCCTTCAGATCATCTGGACGCCATGGCGGAACCACAGCGAGCTACTGAGTGTTCGAGAGTGGTTTTTTCCTCAACCAGCAAGTAGTGAACAGGCAGATTCAGATTCAAACTCCAGGAAAAAAGCTTGCAATCACGTAGGCATCTCTTGTAATGCATCAATGATAGCTAAATGACGGGTCGAATGCAGGTGTCGGCCTGGAAATTGCGAGGCAATCTCCCGCATGCCGTCGAATCAACCTGTCTCCTCACCGAAGCAGTTTTGATCGACGAAAAGCCTATCGGACAGACGCCGGCGTTCGCAATCAGGGCTTCTTACGTTACAGCAATCTCTCGGTGCGTCTCGCCTTCTTCCCCTCCTCCTGGCTTGCTCCATCCAACCAAACTAACCAAAGCAGCTTCGTGACCGGCCTCCTCGACTCGCAACAGGAATCCAAGTACAAAGTCTCCATGTATACTCAAGCGCAGAAATTCGGCTTGCCTGCTTTGTTCGTCGATATACGGCACGAGGCTACGCATGGAGATATGCCCAATTTGACGAACTTGAGGAGTGCGGCGCAGAGAGCGTTGAAGTGGTTATGGGAGGATTATTGGAGGGGCCTTGAGGAGCAAGCACCAGCGCTACCAGCAAGCAATGGGCCGACCGCGATTCTGCCGGATGAGGCAGGGTACCAAAGGGAGAAGGTGAAAGAAGATGGGGAGGAGCAGCCTGGAGGCTGGCAGAAATGGCAAGGGAGGTGGACCCCGAAGCCCATTGGCACAGTCTGATCAATACACGCCAGCTTGGCAAAGTTCCCGCCAGCCAGCCAACATAACCATTCCGCTGTCTATGAATGCAGCATCACCCATCCACCCTCCATGGCCACGCACATTCGAGTTCGAGGGAGACGGGCCGCCCAGACCCTGCCAGCCCGACGCTCGCCGCACGGTGCACGGTGCACGATCGAGGAAACCTCAACTCCACCGGTAGCAAATCTAGTCTATCCATAGCTCCCCGGGTATCCCAACGACTTTTGCCCGCCATCTCGAATCGTAGCCCCCGAAAGCCGGTCACGCAACCACGCATGCATACGTCTCCGTGTAAAAGCTCACAGTATCTCCTCCTCCACAGCCTTCATCCCATCCTTCCCCCTCTCCTTCTTCTCCAACCCCGCCTTTCCCCCATCCACATCCACATCCACATCCACATCCACATCCACATCCACATCCTCATTCCCCCCTTTCCCCTTCTTCCCCTTCTTCGCCGCAATCTCCGCATTCAACTCATCCCAATCAACCTACGCACGATTAACCGTCAGTCTCTACCCATTCAACCCCCTCCCTTCCCCCAAACCTTATAAAAAAACCCCCCCAAACTCACATTCCTCCCCCTCCCCATCCCCATCCCCATCCCAACCCTCCTCTCCCTCTTCTCCCCCACAGCCTCCGCCCTCCCCTTCCCCCTCTCGACCCGCATCCTCTGCTTCCGCTTCAGCACCTTTTTCCCCTTCGCCTTCGCGACGCGGCCGGGCGCGAGCACGGTGTTGGATCGGGACGGGGGCGGTGCTGGGGTTTTGTGCGGGTTGGGGGTGAGGGTGGGAGGGGGGGCGCGGCGGGAGGCGCGGGAGTGGGGGGATGGTGCTGGGGTGGTTGTTGTTAGGGGTGTTAGGGGGAGGGTGAGGGAATAGGAGAGGGGGGAGGGGGGAGGGGAGAAGGGGGGGGAGGTACCTTTGTTGGAGGTTTTGAGGCGCGCGGTTTTGGCCATGGTTTCGGAGGTGGAGGTGGTGGTTGAATTTGTCGGGGGGGCAAATGGATGCCGAGGGTGATGTTGATGGGGGAAAAGATTTTGACGGTAAAGTGTGATGAGGGTTTTTTTTGGGTTGGGGTTGGAAAGGCGTCGTTCGCTACTGGTCTAAAATACGGAGTATACTCGGCAGATTCGACTATCGATCTCTTTCGTTCTATGATATAAACGATTTTCTCGAAGACTTTTACCGCTTCGATTTTACGTTCTATCGAGAGTCGAGTAAACGGGGTTACGATTATTCTTCATGTTGATGTCCTAGAGCTTGTGATGGATGGGGTGGTGAGAGGGTAATCTAGGTGCTTGGGTTGAAGGGAGTATTGGAAGGAGGATTTCGGTATGTATGTGTTGAGAATGATCTTTATCGATGCAAGTACGTATGATAACGATATACCTAAAAAGATGAGGTCTACCTGTAGCTGACGGTGGGAAACACTGAGTGCCAAGTTACGCTAGGCCCGAACGGAAATGCCAAGCGCAATCCGCAACGTTACGTAACCGAAGGGTGTACAATGATACTTGAGAACCATGGCATGGTACTGCTCAAGATTGACGGTGATGGGCTGTGATTTTTCTACTTTGTGAGGTACTATTTGCTTGAAGGAATGATTTTCTGGTCATTCGGTCATCATCAGCTAGAGGAGGCAAAAGACTCTAGCCACTACCACGGAGCAGAGGGCCATGTAATCGTATTCACTAGGATTTGCAATCTACTAGGATTTGCAATCTCTAAAACTTGATCTTTATAATTTATTATTTCATAACACTACGAGTAAAGGCCTATGAATTAAATTCATATCCATTTTTTATAATTAGGGCTATCGAGTAAATTTAATAAGCGAACTTTTAATAGGCGATATTTAAATTCGCTGCCTTTGAATATCTATAAGATCAAATTTAGAAATTCTTTCTTTATCTATAAGCTTACATTTCGTTCTATAATTTAAAAAAAAATCTCAAAATTTTAATAGAAAACAAAAAAGTTATTCTAAAATCAAATAATGTGTACCTGATTAGGGCTGTCCGGCTGTCGAGCGAACTTTGGTGAGCGACATTTGAATTCCTTGCGCTTTAATAATTATAAGACTAAATTTAGAATTTCTTTTTTTATCTGAAAGCCCACATTTCGTTCTACAATTTAAAAAAAAAATCTCAAAATTTTAATAGAAAAAAAAAAGGTATTCTAAAATCAAATAATGTGTACCTGTTTTTTAATCAGGGCTGTCCGGCTGTCGAGCGGGTAAGCGATATTTTTTTGATGGTTGCGGACGCTAATTTATTTATACGCGATGACTTAGTCGGTCTAACCAAAGAGCGTAGCGAATCCGAATTGATGATTGGCTGCACATACAAATTCAAGGTTTTCAAGCTCAGCCCTACCTTATTCTTTTATATATACTGATAATAAAAAATTCGAAAAAAATTCGAAGAGAATATGAAGATATTTTTATATTTTTAGAATTTTTTAAAATCGAGATAGAAATGATTAATTTATATAATAGCGTAATAAACTTTAACGATTATATCTAAATATACTATTATATAACTTTATCAATTTAAGCCTAATTAATAATAATATTAAAAATCTAATAATCGTTTTTTATATTCTTTTAATCTTTTTTTCTAGTTTTTAATTATATTGTTGTGAAATAGTAAATTATAAGAATTAGATTTTGAAGATTGCAAATCCTAGTAGATTGCAAATCCTAGTGAATACGAGTAATCCAACTCCCAAGGAACACGAGATTTTTTGACCTGCAGCTGCAGCGTGGGCGATTTAAAATCATACTTGCGACCATGATATTGATCGACGTCGTGGGCTCCCGTCACGGTGTTGGTGCTGTGCGCCGTGACGAGAGCAGGCTTGGTTGTCGCTAAGTGGAGGCAGCGAAAGGGTTAATCCACCACCAGGGGACAGAGGGCCAAGGCCCAGTGTACTGATTGCCCCAACCGTTGTAGTACGGATTAACCTGCAAGGGTAGCACGGGCGCCGTTGACTCATACACGCTGCATTGGTATTGTCCGTCCGTCGTGATGATGGTGGTCTCTGTTGCAAACAAACGAATGTCAGATGATGGAGTGTTGATGCGAAGGGAAGACATTGGGGATGTTGTTGTTTGTTGAGGGGTAGCTTGCAAGAAGGCACGGAGAAGAGACGTACGATTTTCGTACCAGAGACACACGATATTCGGGTCCTCAACACCAGTCGGGCTCGTAAAGTTTTTCAAATACACCACCGGGAGTTTAGGATCCCATGTGAAATTCGCCGTGCACCCGGGTGCCGAATAAGGGCAGTTGAAGTAGGGTCTGCACGCCCAGGACGGTGCTGGGTATACCTTTTCCCAGATTGTGGAAAGGGTGGCTTGGCCGCGGTCGCCGAGATTGATTGGGTTGTTCAGTGTCAATGTGATTTGTTGATTTGGGTTGTCGTAGTCAATGCCCCAAACGGAGCATACGGATGTGTAGGGTACGCGTGAGCCATTCTTATATTCCCATTCGTCGTAGGGGTCAAGGTCGCCTTTCCATCCGTCTAGATTCTCGGGTGCGACGTTCATGCAGCCTCCGTTGTCAACCATGGTCTGCGGATATGCTCTTAGTAAGGGAAGATTCGGAGGTGGAAGCCTAAGAGGACTTACCAGCCAGGTGGCTTGGGCTAGACTGGCGAGGAGTGGGAAAGACGACGCAATTGAGATGGTTGCGCGCATGACTGCAATTGGTCAAGCCGGTAGGTATGTGGCGGATTGTTCATCAAAGTTGATTCGGCAGAGACGATGCAAGAGAAAAAAGCTAGGTTTGGGGGTATGCATCCTTTTGAATCTATCTCCGCAAATCCAACCGTCAAAGGCCAGCCTTCGACTATTGCAAGGGGAGTTTCAGATTTCAAAAATCTCGCTTTGTGCTGCTCCAAGAGCGTCAAGGCTTACCGTCATAAAGAGCGAGAAAACCGACGGTGACGGAGAATGCAACGCACATCTCGGCGGCGTTGACTACTTCTCAACCTTGAAACACTGTATTATCGGGCTCGTTGACCCTCTTTACTTGACATGAAACACCTTCCAGAAGCCTAATCACGAGATCTTGCAGAAATGTCCAAATCACACGGAACTTGTGACAAAATACAGAAACTTCAGTCACAATTACGCAACAATGAACAAAGAAGGCAGAAAGAAAGCAAACCAGCTTGTGGTAACATCGGCCTACCCAAGACGCAGTCGTCTAACCGATCCTCCTCCCTTACTGTTTCGGTCAAACGCCGCTGATCTTGTCATCTTCTCTCTCACCTGCTTTGATGGGTTTTGGGCTTGCATGTATGTCCGCAAAGTTCTGCATTCTGGTTGGATACATCTGGTCGCAAGGGCATTGCTGGAATATGATGAAAGCGTTGGTGATCGAGTCGCTGGCATGAAAGGTTGTGGACCTTGTACTCTACCGGCGCGGGAGGATGTTGAGCAGTGATGATGGTTTATTGTGAACTAAGCTAAATCCTTGAGGGAGGTAGGTGGTACCTAAGGTACGTACGCCTAGCACACTGCCCTTGATCCGACCTAGTGCCTTCCGTCGTCATCGGATACTCTGTCGCCATCAGATAATCTCGATTTCTTCTGATCTCAGTAACCTCACGCAGCGAGTCTGAGTAGAGGACCCTTGCCAAGTTCTGTTTGGATGTGTTGATAGATACAAAAAATGGTCAGACTGGCCATGCACACTACCTGCAAGTCACCCAACACTTGCGGATGTAATCTCCTCGATCCACACCTTTACGACAGTATTGTCCCATTGCAGATCAGCAGCTCTTAGCTAGCCCACGTTCATAGACCCGTACAAGAACGAGATCACGATCACTACTGCTACGTCTAAGTCCAAAACAGCGATCTCGATCCACCGCTTTCTACATGGTCGCGGCGTGTGCGAACGCGGTGACATCTTTGCCCAACCGTGATTCTATCTTAGGTTGGGGTCTTGGAATAAAAAGGACCAAGTTCGTGAAGACCTGGACGAGAACCAAATTGAGAGCGAGCCATATCACAGATTCGGTTGTTGTTGAAAGCCGGGCAGTGGACACCTTATACATTGACCCACGGTAGCAGAGAATCCACATGGTATTTCCAGCTATGATTAGCATTAGGCAGTACATCAAAAAGATCGATCGGCAGAACCATTGTTCCTTGAAGAGATCATGATAGGACTGGGTAGGACTGGGTAGGACCGTGAGGAACTGTGTTTGATTGTTTGGATGACACTAGAGGTATCTTTGGCCCGACAGTATGGGCTTTGTCGGCCTAGCAGATAGCAAAAGGCAATAGGCATGATCCTCTAAAGTAAAATCATCATCAACGACCTAAGCAGTAGATTAACCATTCTAGGCATTAAGTTTCCCTTGACTTACAATGCCAAAGGACTGTTGGCAATGGAAGAGACTAACAGCCAAGTCTGCCAAACCAGCAGAAACGGTCGTAGGAGCCCGTTAATCATCACCGTGGCCACAGAGGGTGCCTTGAAAACCCCATGGCCTGGTAAGCCTATATCTAAAAGAGGCTTCCCGACTCCTTTCGCTACTAGGGAGCCTGGATCGAATGTTCAACGATCCTCCATATCTCGGGGACGCCTAAAAGACACCTGATAGAAAACAATATCTTCGTGTTTCTCGCCCGCCTCAACACCTGTTTCAGAAATCAAGGGCGAGTCGAGGACTATGGTATAAACCTCTGCCTCCGAGGCCGTCCGGATCGTGATTTGCCTCCATTTTGCAAGGAGCCAGCGCGTACAGAAGGTAGATCCCCAGCCAGAAGTCCCGGGTAAAGCTCTCTATAAAGATTGGAGATTTGAAAATCTCTGACCGATATGCCGCTGTGCGTCCGGAGAGGCAAGTCACTCCCCGTCAAGGTAGTTCATTGCAGCTTGATTCCTGTTGCGACTGGCTAACCGACCATCGGCGAGCCTCTGCCATATCGACGATGTGC